TGTTAAGAACTCACATACTTCACAATCATCATTTTGAAGGTCCAAATAAGCCATTTCACAAAACCATCTATCTGTGAATGATAAGCACATATGAAAGTGTAGCATATCCGCAATAGAGATGTTAAAACATGAAATGCCTTAACCATTATTGAAGAGAATCTGCTGTAAATAAAAATGCTAGAACACTACTTGATTGAGGAGGAAGTATCCAACAGTGGTTGTAAATGCACTAATAAAAGCACCAACTTCCACCCAGTGAGTCAAGTAGCCAAAAGTAATAATGATATACTTATTGCCAGTAGTTAATTATGGAAAAGGCTTGTTAAATAAAATGCCATCAACTCAAATGGACAAAAAACTATAATTGACTCCAATTGTCCTTCTATAGCATGAGGGGAGTATTATAAACTTGGCACCAAACATAGCTATGTATATATTGAATAACATTATGTCGCATCTCCAGCAAATAAAAAGATATGCACAACTTTTTAGTCACATGACTATGTCCCATATGCTACATAGAATAGGAAAATCATAATAGATGTGGAGAAAGTGTGGAATAAAGATCAAAGACATGACCAACTGTAAATAATCATTAGGATCTGTCCCTACAAAATAAGGAAGGTTATCTTTAAGATGATATTGAGAATGTAAATGCTGAAATGGCAAGTCATCAATAAATGATGTAAAATTCTTAAACCCATTGCATTGGATCCATGGCTTAACCTTTTGAGCCTCAAGAACCTTGTTAAGAGAAGGAACATCAAGTACAACAACTGTTGGCAACACAAAATCCTTATCTAGAAAATCCATAAATGCTGGAATAATAACTTTGTTAGGAACATGAGAAGAGAGTAAAAAAAGAAAAGGGGCTTGAGAAAAAGCATAAGCATTAGTCATAAAACTCTTTAGTCAATGAACAAACTTGAAATTATATATCTAAAGCTTAAGAGCCCATTGAGTAGTCTCACCAACCAAATTCTTTTGCTTTACTAATAAAGTAACCACAACATGATCAACTTTCAATAATGTCCAAGAATCATGCAAATATGCATAAAGTTTCTTAAAACCCCAAATTACTGCTAAACACTCCTTCTTTATCATAGAATAGTTCACCTTCACTAATTGTAATGTATGGCTGATGTATATAGTTGGATGATGTTGACCAGGCACACTTATGCTCTCTTGCATCAAGCCCTTTAAACCAATATCATAAGCATCTACATACAAAAGTCGAATGTAATTAGGATATACCAAAATTGGAGGAGTTATTAATAACTCTTTGAGATCCATAAATGTTTATTTGCAATCCTTATACTAGATAAAAGATGATGTTGACGACTTTAATAACACTCACAATATTGCAGTACAATCAGAAAAATGATCAATAAAATGATTAAAATATTACACCTTGCCCAAAAAGTATTGCACATCATTCACACACTTCAGAGTAGAGAAATTTAGAACAGCCACAAGTTTGTTAAGATCAACTTATAAACCTTTATGAGAAATATGATACCCAAGGTAAGTCGTATCCTTAGATCCAAAAACGCACTTTGGCAGCTTCAAATTTAAACTAACTTCTTGCAACCGATCTAGCACTTTATGAACATCACGAATGTGCTCCTCCCACATCACCTTTGAGTGGATCAAGACATCATTTATGAAGTTATCAGTCACCTTTAGCATATTGTAAAGAACCTTATCCATCATCTAGTAAAAAGTTGCTAAAGCATTGTTCAAACTAAATAATATTACCAAAAACTCGTACAAACCAAATGGTGTATAAAAAGTAGTCTTGGGAATATTTTCTT